TTAAACCCTAAACCCTAAACCCTAAACCCTAAACCCTAAACCCTAAAACCATAAAACCCTAACCCCTAAACCCTAAACCTTAAACCCTAAGCCCTAAACCCTAAACCCCTAAACCCTAAACCCCTAAACTCGGGACCTGATTCCTTGAATCCCCCATAGGAAGCCCTACACAAGTAGCCCTCAAGCCCCCAAAAGAGCAACCCTAGATGCGAAACCCCATACTCCCTTTAACCTTAAACCCTAAAGCCCTAAACCCTAAAACCCTAAAACCCTAAACCCTAAACCCCAAAACCCTAAAACCCAAAACCCTAAAACCCTAAACCCTAAACCCTGAAACCATAAAGCCTTAAAGCCTCAACGACATCCCGAGGACCTTGAGGCCCTAGTCTTCAAACTCTGGGGTTGAGGGGGTTTAGGGGGTTCAGGGAGGTTTAGGAGCTTTGGGTTTAGGGTTCAGGGCTTAGGAACTGAACCTTTCTTCGTGGGGCAGAACGCAACTTTCTAACTTTTGGGTGCTCTTCTAAGTTAGTCTTCTAAATGTTCGAATTGTTTACCCCATGGGTATTTGGGAAGTACTGTACACCTCTTCCTTCTCGCAGAGCCACTTGGCAAGGCCAATCTGACCACGCCCGAGCAGCACCAGGCGTTAGCTGCTCTTGGACAGGGATGCTTGATTTTTCTTGAATATGGATTTCTTGATTTTTTCTTGGATCTGGATTTCTTGATTTTACAAAGACTCAAAAGGTGAGATGAAGGCAAGGGGATTGGGAACCCTTCCATAATTCTACCTTGATCCGACTTCTTGAGGTTCCCGATGAGCTATTGCTCGTGGATGACACTGTGCTACTTTGCTGGTTCCTTAAACTTACCTATTGCCTAGGGCAATACTGTAGTTCATGAAGATGACAAGCAAGGTCGCTGTTGATATTGCTAGTTGTTCTCATGCTTAGGGCGACATCGGGATTGCCATGAGGATGAGAAATACAGTAATTGATCTTGAACTTGTTCTCACATGTTCTTACTGTGTCTGGTATGATGGAATTGCCCTAGTTACTGCCATTGTAGTGCTTGTGTTGTTCGTTATTATTCCAATGATGGATGATGCCGATGATGACGATGATAACATCATGTGTATGTATGCATGTATGTATGTATGTATGTATGTATGTATGTATGTATGTAGGGAGGCAGGGAGGGAGGTGCGTAGGTGGGTAGGTCGGTAGGTAGGTATTCCTTTCTATGATTTTCGATCATGCAGACTGGTGAGCGTCGTCGTCGCAGTAGCTGCAACATAATAAACGAGACCCCCTCCCCCATATGACAGAGGGCACGCTGTCGTGGCCGCCAGGCTCCTAGTTATCTTCTTTTGGATTTGCTCGTTGCTGCAACACGCCACTCATGTTGAATCTAAGGGGGGCATGGTGAAACCCAAAACCCGACTCCCCAGACCCCAAACCCGAAACCCCAAACCCGAAACTCTTAACCTGAGTCCCTTGTTTTGATGCCAAGGTGTCGCTTTGACTGGGCGTTTACGAGTCGTCGGTATGTTTCTTCTAAGGTTTCAGATGAACGGTAAAGTCTTCAACATTTTATGAAAAGTGGCTTCACGCAGCGGCTGTTTATTGTCATGGTTGCAATGCTCGGGATGTTCCCGGTAACAGATTATGCAACAGAGCAACAGGATTCAGGAGACTGAGACAACCGTGAAGGCAGTGGAAAAATGTGAAGGAGTTTCAAGCCGAAGCAATCCTATGGTCATCCCTAAACCCTAAGCTCTAAACCCTAAAACCCTTAAGAAAGCACGGGCAGACCCTAAAGTCTTAGTTTCGAAAACTCTTGGGCAGCGCAGAGGCACTACCTCCAGCTGAGCGCCGAGAGCGAGCTGGGAAATGGCGCACGCAAGCCCAGAGAAGCTGTTTATTGTCGCGGAGCCTACAGGGCTGAATGGCTTGATGGTGTTCATGTCTGTTTGGGTTGAGGGCCTTAGGGCTTCAGGGGTGTTAGACTTCCGGGTTATAAGGTTTCCCAAGTTGTGGGGTTTGGCGGGGCTTGGGGGGTCAGCTTTCCTCGCGAGTAATAGTTTTGGTTTGGTTTCGTTAATGTCCCAACCACAACCATGGTGATGAATGCCTGCACCACCAGGGTCACCAACAACATGCACAGCTGCATCCCCGTGATACCTTCGCCGGCATCATCACTAGCGTCACCACCGTTCTCATGGTCATGAACTTCAGGCCATGGCATTTATCTTCTTCGCAGCACACACTTTATCGTTAACATTCCCATCACCATGATCTTTGGAAACATCATCACCACCACCACAGCCATGAACAGCATGGCAATCATCATTATCATCACCATCGCCATCATGTTAGTCCTCGTCCCCATCATCAAACCTCTCTTCGACGTCGCAAAGTTATGAGCAAGTAGATCCCCCAAAGCGAACCTATTGCTGCCTGGCAGAGTCCCAAATTCTCTCCGGCCCTCGGTGGGTTGAACGTCATTCTCTAAACCAGCTAGACGTCATGGTTACCGTCACAAAAATGGAACAGAGCAGCAGAGTAAATTGAGCAGCCCAATTGCAAAAAGCTTACAATGTAGGATTTTCAATTTAATTCTAATCGTCAAACAAAACCCTCAGCCCTGAACTTTTACGCCTCGTACTACTCTCACTTTGTGCACCCAGTGCTTAGCATTCAGTTCCGTTAGAAAGCTGCGTAAGTAAGACACGAGCTCGAAAGCAAAGCCTCAAACCAAAGCCCAGAAGCCCTGAACTCCCAACCCTCAAGACTGTAATCTCTAAGCCCTTAAGACTCTAACCTCTAAGCTCCAACTAAACTCGATATAATATAGCAGCCTAGATGGTTACCAATATTATTCCTTCGGGTTCCGTATTATAACTAAAGTATAATAGACTGTACCCCATAACCCTATTCTAATTATGAAGGCCCCTACATTACATCTCAAAACCCCTGAGGCGAGTTCATTAGCAGCATCGACAAAGTCGGCTGGGAGGCAACAGGGTGCTGGGGTTGACTCGCAAGAAGCTGAAGGTGCAATCTATGGCTCAAATAGTTACCAATATTGTTTTTGGGGGTTCCTTATATACTAGACTGAGAGTCGACTGATGATCTAATCTACCCCCTGATTACGAAGGACCTTACATTGCACATAGTCTCTATTGTAGTTCCTGTCTTGTTTCAGCTTATTTTCCATTTATAATAGGATCCTTTAAGACAGCCCGAAAAAGGAACCGCCATGGAGACTAGAGGTAGGGCTTAGGTTTGCAGGTTTGAGTTTAGTTTTGGGCTCTGGGTTTTTGTTAGTGCTTCGAGCTCATGGATTTTTGTTTAGGGATTTGAGTTTTAGGGCTTACATGGGTGTTGTTGGTCCGGGGCTCAGGGTCTAGTTGCGCCAGCACAACCGCTAGTCAGCTTCCATGCATTCCGGGTTCCGAAAGCTTCGCTTCCTATTGCTGTGAGGATCAGCAGTACAGTCGTCGTCGCAGTGGTTGCCATGTTCCTTTCACTGTCGTGTGGGTGCACCGCTAGGTTCTTAAGCTGGAACACCTGCGAGGTAATTCCAACGATGTCCCAAAGTTGCAGTTGTGTCATTGTGCTAGCGTTCGGCATATGGCATAGGGTTTTCCTGCAGGTACGTGTGAACATTCAGTATCATGCAGTCTTGGAAAAGGCACGTGGCCTTTGAAATTCATGAGTCCATCAAGCTTACAGATGCCAGGCAGCTCGCGCATATCGACACCGCTTCAACAATGCTGCTGGATGGACGGAGGCCGTGACTGCCACATGGGACAACTTAAGTCCTGTAAGCCCTCAGCACTTCAACTTCAACTAGACCCTGAACCCTAAACCGTGATTCAATTGTTCGAACTGTCCACAGCTTCCTAGCCGAGTGCACTACGTGCTAACGTTTGAACGACAACAGAACCCGCAGCTTTTAAACAGTTGAGGATTTCGTTCAGAACTCATAGTCAACATAGGCCTGAAGAATTTTCTTCCCGGCAGCGATTGTCGATAGTCCACACGAAGAAAACAACTTCGAAATATCAAGGCCCCCCCATACAAATTAGATATTTCAGATAGTTTCTACTGGGACAGCGACGATCGGAACCTTAACCATGGGCGCCACAACACACTGTTATGTGGATTCTGAAAATACGCGGCCCCTTCAACTTTTTAGGCGCTCTGGCGGAAGCACCGTATAGAATGGCCAGAAGTGCAGTGTTTTGATGTACGGATGAATGCAAGATGGGTCCCTCGTCTTTGCTACTGAGAACTTTGAAACCTCAGCATTAGGGCTTAGACACCCTCCATGGATGTGCTTTGGTATTTCCCACGACTCGAAAGCCAAACGATCGAGAAGGTTGGGCTTCGGATGTTTCTGGTAGTTTGGATTTGGTCTTGGGGCTTAGGATTTAGGATCTAGGGTTTAGGGTTTAGGTTTTAGGGGCTAACTTTTCACGCTTTACTCACGACTGCGTCCTCGCTTTCCTGTCAGAGACGGAACATAGGCTTTTTGGGTTTAGGGTTTAGGCCCACACAGTGCCAAAGAAAAAGCACCCAACGTCTGTCTTCGAATATAAGCGCAATCGTTATGGGCAGTTGCCTCTTGTTTTTTGCAGCATGGCACAGCATCAACAAGGATCAGCACACCGGAGACTGCCGCAGCGCAGGAACGAAAGTAGTGTCCAGACAGCATCCATTGCTAGCTCCCAAACCGTAAACAACCTAAACCCTAAACCCTAAACCCCTATACTAAACCCTAAACCGCTAAACCCCTAAACCCTAAACCCCTGAAGCCACTGCCTTCGGTGATTGCCCCGAGATCCCCACAAGGCACGCGACAGTTCAAACCCTCGACGTTCTGTAGCCAAAGTTCCAAAGCCAGCACCCCAAAGACCAGAGACAGAAATGCCTCCTCAACCCTAAACCCTTAAACTCCTAAATCCTACTTGAATCCTAAACCCTAAATCCTAAACCCCAAAACCCTAAATCCTCAACCCTACACCCTAAACCCTCAACTCCTAACAGGTCAAGTTCGTGGTTGCGGACTTTGACGCTCTGAGCAATGCGGACTTCATCGGCCAGGTACGATTGCCATAGCTCCAGGTCCCCAACCCTCAAACCCTAAAGGCCCCGAAGTCATGGTCGTTGGGATTTAGGGCCTTGTTTTTTTTGTTTTAATACAAAAGGCCCTACAGTAAATCCCAACGAGCATTACTTCTTCCTTCGCCATCCTGGTGGGGTTTAAAGGTTTTCGTATCTGCACTTCTCCAGATGCTTCTACATGGTTTGAAAGCTGTGGAAATCCTAAACCCTGAACCCAAAACCCCAAACCCCCAAACCCCCAAACCCCTAAACCCCTAAACCCCTAAACCCCTAAACCCTAAACCCCTACACCCTAAACCCTGAACCCTATTCCCTAAACCGCAGCCGGAGTGTGGGCTTCAGAGGTGTCCATCCATCTGGACAAGACGTCATCACTTGCTGGCCACCAGCAAGTACTGCATTTGGTCGACAGGACGACTTTCCGACGGGTAAAAGGCAAGCCTTAAGAGCTTCAGGCCTTTCGAATCCTCGGGCTTTAAGCTTTAGGCTTTGGCGTTTATGTGGGTTTAGGCGTTAGGGTTTGCAGGTTTAGGGTTTTCGGGTTTAGTGTTTCGGGAATCCTCACAGTCACTTGGATCCGGGGACCTAGAGATCCTAAACCCTAAACCCTAAACCCGAAGGAATGTTTGCGGTTGCTGGTTGAGGCTATCAGCGTCTTCGGCTAGACTGGCAGCCGTATATTCCTTCTTATGGGTAATGCAGGGTTTATCTCATCAACCGTAGTGCGCCGCTTCCGAGTCTGCAGGAGCGGCAATCCCGTCATCGGAAAGAATGGGCTGCCTGCGACATTGCTGGAATCCCAGGTGGGTTTCCTCATATCTTCGGCCATGTTTCTCACCTTGCCCACCCTTCTTGCATGGAAATAGAACCTTGATCCGCTTTAAGCGCGGTTTGGTCTGGAAGACTCGCTAGCCGTGGAAGTAATACGCACCATAGTTTTGCAGGCATCTTTAATGGTTCCTTTCCCTGTCGATCATTCTTCCTCCGCTGCAGCAAGGCCTGCGCGGAAGGGGCTAAGCATGGCTCTGGAAACAGATCCTTATAGTCTTTGTTATAGTGATGCTGACAAATATCCTTCAAAGCCCAATGACACCGACTAAGCCCTCAATCCTCAAGGCCCGTCTATCAGCTAAACCCTAAACCCTAAACCCTAAACACGGGGCTGTCGTCCTCTAGGGTTCTGACGCCCCGAAGTAGGGGAAAACCTGGAACTGGGGCTGGGGAGATAGCGCTGCTTTCTCCACGCCACGACGGTGTCGGGTTTAGGGACGAGGGTTTAGGGTTTAGGGCTTCGATTTGATTTGGGGTTTAGGGTTAAGTGTTTCGATTTGATTTGGGGTTTAGGGTTTCGGTTTTATCTATGAATTGCGGTTTTGTGTTTTGATTTTGTTTGGGGCTTAGGGCTGATAGGGTCTGGGGTTTCGATTTCAGATTTAGGGTTGAGGGTTTCGATTTTGTTTGGTTTAATAAGAGAAAAAGCTTAAGAGCTGCGAGAAAGACAAAACCGCAGGAGCCCTGAAATCCCACTGTCTTTCTCCGGTTTAGATTTTAGGGTTTAGGGTTTAGGGGATGGCTATCCTTAGGGCTCCACTTACTCAAACAAGAGGTTTCTAACCATCTAATGTGTAATGTAGGGGCCTAAATAATTACCAATGCTGTTGTGGGGTTCCTTATTGTAAGTATGGTATAATATACCACCAAAAAACCCTATTCTACTTATTAAGGCCCTTGCATAAACCCAGAGCCAAGGAGTCATTTTGGGAGGTTGGGATTTCACGTTAAGGGTGGATTGTTTCATCTTGCGCGGTTTTTGAACTACATCCACTACTGTAAGCAGCCCGGAAAGGCCATCATCTCCCCCGTTTCCTACATGAGTTAGGAGGGTTTAGGGTTGTAGGGTTTAGGGTTTAGGGTTTTAGGGTTTGTGGGGTTTAGGGTTTACCGGCCCTAAGCCATAAACCCAAAATGCCAAGGACCTGCGCAATTCAGTTTCACCCGCTACCAGAGGCGTGGTGTTTTGAGCGAGCGCTGAGGGATTTTGCACGTACCCAAAACATGTTGTTGCGTTGTGCTACATGCAAGGATCCTGGGTGACACCGGAAAGGCTGTCCTTTGGGTTCAGGAAAACCGTAAACCCCCAAACCCTAACGACTAAAAACCTTAGCCCGAAAGTTAAAGCCCAAACCTTGAGACCACAAAGCCCTGAAGCCCCAAACATAGCAATCCTAAGCCCTAAACCCAGAAGCCCTCAAACTCTAGAAACACTGGGACTTCGAAGACTCTTCTAGCCACCTTTAAGGGTTCAGGGTGTCGGGTTAGGAGCCCTAAACCCCATACCCCTAAGCCTAAACCCTTAACCCCTAAGCCCCTAAAACCCTAAACCAAAACCCCTAAACCCTAGACCCAAACCCCTAAACCCTAAACACCTAAACCCAAAACCCCAAACCCCTAAACCCTAAACCCCTAAACCCCTTCAATCTAAGGAATCCCACCCTGGAAACCCCGAGCTGCATTGCCAGATTGCCGTTCCTGTCAGAAGCCAGCGACCCTGAAAGTCCTGATCTAGGGCTTTAGGGTTTAGGGATTAGGGTTTTAGGGTTTCAGAGTTTGAGGGTTTAGGGTTTAGGGTTTTAAGGTTTAGGGCTTTAGGGTTTAGGGTGTAAGGGACCTACAGTCTCCATTTGTAGTTGCTTCTTTCGGTTACCTCTTAGGATCCTGAACATAGGAACAGTTAACCCAAAGAAAGGGGCTACAATGAAACCCTAAACCCTAAACCCTAAACCCTTAGAGTAGGGCTGCTTCCGGGGGTTTCGCTTGCTCGAAGATCGGGGCCTCGGAACAGAGCGCAGTTCTGAATCCAGGACATGTTCAGGGTTTAGGTTGTAGGGTTTAGGGTTTAGGGTTCAGGTGGGTAGTTACCGTTATAGGAGCCTTCTAGAAGGCCTATATACCTTATGGAAGCCTTATAGAAGCCCTATATACCCTAAATCTTGGGATCAGGAGCATTTGCGGAGTCGGGCGGCAGCTTGCCCCAGGATAAGGTTCACGGAAAGAGTAGGTTTACATAGATCATCGGGAAAGCATAAACAATTCAAGCGATCATCAAGCAGTTTCGCCAAAATGGCTATTTCGCCTTGGGGGTACGAGAGGCGTTGTATATCGAGGGTTGTAGACATTGTTGAACATTTTATGTTTTGGCGTACAGGGCCTTAAGAGGATGATATGTTACACAAATTTTTCGCAAACTTTAAATGGCCCAGCCAAGTGCTCTCTCATGGGTTGTATGATGAGGGTTTTCTGGATGACGGGTTTAGGATGTACGGACCTGAACAACTTGACAAGGGTGTTGGGTATGTTCTCCAGTAACTACTGCAGGGAGCCGTTCGTAAGTGAATAATCTTCAGACTACAGAGGCGTCCACATTATTGAATGATAAGCCATATTTCCCAATTACACGGATATGTGTTTTTTTGCCATGCTTTCGCCAGGGTCGCCTCAGCGCCGTATGGCGAGACCGAGACCGAGCGTTTAGAGTTGTTTGCGTTTTCTGATGGTTTAGAGTTTTTGTTCAGTAGAGTTCTTTGGTGCATTTTGTATGGGCTTTTATTGAAGTCGATCAAAAATTGAGGGAGGTTACTCATACTCAAAGAGCACCGTCATCGACAAAAGATGTTGTGGTTTAATGTTTGCCTACAGGGTTTATACCGCTTACTAACCCACCATACAAGTAGTTGGGCTCTCAGGGATATGTGTAGGGATTTGCGGCTCATGCAGTGCTTCTAAGAATTTGGGTTGGAGCTTCAGGACTTTGGGGCAAAGCTTTCTGATTTAGGGTCAAGGATTGTCAGACCTAGAGTGTACAGCCTGCTAAAGGAGCTACTCTTGCCGATTTGGATCCCCTCAGTAAATAGGCCTTAGTAGCTAGAATAGGCATTTGGCTCATATTATCCTTAAGCCCTAAACCCGTGAACCCTAAACCCTAAACCGGTGCAGTAATGCAAACTGTTGCAACCTCTGCATATCTAAAACGCTGCGGCTCGGCCAGTTGACGATGGATCAGACCCTTTTCCGCCTGAGATAGAGTCGAATTGCTTCTCATGAGTTGGGAGCGCCAGAAGATACTACACCGCTGACTCGTCCGACCACTGCTCTTATGCTGGCGCAGGTGTCTGGCCTCACGGACGCGGACGATGCCTGGGCTTGCAAGCATACAACAGAAAGGCCTACCCCCAAACCCCTAAATCCTAAACCCTATCTTCCGGAGGTCTGGCCGGATTCTTGCGGTTCGCAGCTGGACTGCACTGCGCAGCAAGCTACTGTGCATCTTCTCGTGGCCAGCAGCGGAGACGATGCCCCGGCTCGAGGAGGCACTGGCTACGCCGGTCGTGAGGAAGCGCGTGTCGACTCTGAAGGAATCTAATACAAATTAAGTTAAAAGAGGAAGGAAACCCATTGATTTACTATATATCCCCATGATAGCACAATAATAATGAACTAGAACAGACGATCATATGATATAGTAATCATATGATATAGTATGTGTTTTCTGGGACCTTGAGGAGCTTCAGAGCTCTCGACCTGGGTTTCACGGCATTTTGCCGGCTCGATTCATGCGTAGTTCTCTAAATTAGGGTTTCGGGTTTAGGGTTTAGGGATTAGGGTTTAGGAGGATGCCTTTTCAAGTACTGTTTATAAGGGTGCCGTATTATCTTGGGGACCTAACTAAAACGGGACCCGAAGTTTGAAGACTACCTTCATGTTTGGGCGTGAGTCGATGGGCCGTTAGGTTGGCCTCAAACCCTAAACCCCTGAACTCTAAACCCTGAACTCTAAACCCTAAATACTAAACCCTAAACCCTGAACTCTAAACCCTAAAATTAAACCCTAAAACCCTGAACTCTAAACCCTAAACCCTAAACCCCTGAACTCCAACCCAGTGACACGGTGATGGTCGGCTCCCAGAAGCGGTGCCGCATGGATTGCTGTGAGCAAGTCGCGCAGAGCCATCCCAAAGGGCCAATGTGCCCAAATAGTATTATCCAGAGAACCCGATACCCCTTTTAATTAAGGAATATACCTTAAATTATAATTTTTAGGCCCCTATAATTTAAGGTATATTCCCTAATTAAGAGGTCTTGGGCTCTCTGGGTATACTTTGGGCCCGAAGTACCTATAATAGGGACTACCTTATGGCCAAAGTATATACTGTTTGGGCACATAGGCCCTTAGGGCAGTGGATAGTTCAATCAGGTTCGTACGATCGTATTCCTGACAGCAATCATCATCATCTGCATAGTATAGCAGCAGTTTAGGGCTCCACAGAGCAGCTAAACATGAGCTATTGACACTTACCCCCTTGTAGTACCACTTCCTTTGAAAGCTCCTGTTTAAGCGATATGTGTCGGGCCCCTGCGTAATACTACCGGCCAGAACAGGAACACCAATGACTAGGAACGCCATTTATATGACATGGTGTAAAGCCTGGCATCATCGATGCCTGAGCCAATCCGTACTTGAGCTCCAAACTCACGCTGTATGCCAAAGCCTGCCGCTGAAACACCCTTCATTTCAAGCTCAGGCCTGCCTAAAGTCTCCATGGTAGTTCCTTTTTGGGGTTACATTAGAGGATCTTAATTTTTTACTTTTAAAATCACAAAAAAGGAACTACAATGGATACTATAGGTAGGATTGACTGCGGGGGGAGAAGCCGGATGGAAAAAAACATACTTTGAGGCAAGAGGCCCAGCAATGAGAATCAAGCCTAGCCCTGAAACCCTACGTGGGCTGCTATGCTGATATGGGGGCCTGAATATTACATACACTGTATGAGGGTTCCTCTTTATATTTATAGTATAATGCACCCCCCAAGACCCTATTCTAATTATTAGGGCCCCTACATTAAACCCTTAACCCCTCCCTCAGGTTCACGTGCTTAGTGCGGCGAACCTGCCTTCGCGAGACCTCTCGGGAAGCTCCTCGGCCTTTCTGCACGGTCGGTGTATGAACGTGCGGGATGCTCTTGCACTTTATGTCCTGACTGTCTATGTGACTCTGTCAATCAGGAGAAAGTCGACGAAAAAGTAACTAGATTGCAAACTTTTGTAAACTTTGTCATACTTATATATGCATTGATGCATGTGCGTGTGTCTGTGTGCACTAACGATTGCTACTGTGGCTATCATACTGCATCTTCTGGAATCAGGTCTCATTCCAAAGCTACAGCACACATGGGTTGGGAGGACCGGAGCTCATAGCAGCAGCTGGGTGTGATCATGATCCCTGTCTAAGGACTTTAGGAGGGACCCTTAATAGGGACCCTTAATCCCATTACCTTAAATAACCATTGTATAATCCTTATATACCCCTTATATGCCCAGGTAGTCTCCAAAGTAACCCCAATAACCTACAAGGGTCCCTATTAAGGGTCCCTCCTGGAGCCCTTAGATCCTGCAGGCTAAAAGTCTTAAAGCAGAACTGCCACTGCACCTCCAGCCAGTTGAATCCTAAGGTCCGCAAGCCAAAGCTCGTTGCATAAAGTGGCTCTTACGGTTCAGGGGCGGATTCAGTGCAAACAGCTTAGAGATGTTGTATTTTGGGTGTGTTCCTTGTGCGGTGCAAGAAAAAACGGTTTTCTTGGTGGTTTTGAGTCAGAGTTCAGCTGGTCTGACTACGGGAGAGCCAAAGCAGACTATAGGCAACAATCCAAGGACCAACGCTACGAGGTGTGCAGCTATAGCCACGAGCAAAGACCAACCGTAGTCTTGGTTTTCGGACTCGTCTGGTAAACCCTACTGTTACTTTCTGTCCCAAACCCTAAGTCCTAAACCCTACACCCTAGTCACTAACCCCTAAACCCAGAACCTCGGTAAACCCTCAAACAAAAATCCCAAATCCGAAGCCCTGAAAGCCTAAACCCTAAACCCTGGTCCTCAAAAACCGTAAACCCAACGACCCTCAGTTCCGATAATGTAGGGGCCTGGGTATATTATACCGTATTTATATTAAGGAGCCCCCAAAATAGTATAGGTAATTATTAAGGCCCTAAACCCTAAACCCTAAACCCTAAACCCTAAACCCTAAACCCTAAACCCCGACGTCTCCTTGGCCGCAGGACCTTCTCGGTGACCGTCGCGTCAGCATCGTTCTTCGCCATGTG